TCAGAGAATGCGTTGGCTCGACACCATCAAAGCTGACACGGGATTGAGCTTAAGGCAACTGACGGATGCGGTACAAGATCGGACAGCATGGAGAGAACTAGCCCATAGAATCGCCAAGAGTCGGACATGACTGAATGGATAAGATCATCAATGAAGAGTGAAATGGATCTGCAACACACCAATGCCCTTGAGATGTCTAAGTGATGCAATACATCCCTGCAGTGCCTTTCTACTTTCTTTCCTTACCTGGTACTGCACTGAACCCAAAGGTGCCCCATACTCAGTTGTTAATGCTTTTCAAGTTTTGCGAGCACTGATGGTAATTACCTGTTGCCTGTTCTTCAGGTATTTACAAGCTTTCTATGTACATTCCCCTTACCCCTATAGTTTTCATCTTCCTCGGTAATATTCAACGGTTAATAGCATCAATGCTTTATTTCATCATCATTCAAAGTGATCAAAAGATCATTTATGAAGTGACATTGAAATAATTTTTTTTGTAATTTTTCAAATAAAATAAAATCACAAAAGCAACAAGAAGCACCACGTAACAAAACATCTGGCAAAAGATTAAGCTGCACTACAGATATTATCCAATCCATGAACTCATATTTAATATTTAACAGACACCAAGAAAATAAATAATAATTACAAAAATAATTTCAAAACTCAGTTCAATCCATGACCTCTATGGTCAGGGCCTTCCCACCTACAATTCAATGCTTACTGAGCACGTCTTCCTGAATCTGAGGGAAACTTGAACAAACGGAGATCATTTCTGCTTCTGCTCGAGGAGTTTGGGACAGAACACCCTGGCATCTCGATGCAAAGTAGGAGGGACGAGACACTCAGAATGGATTAAAGATGGCTCCATCACAGCCTATCATCGTGTTTATGGGTCGTTCCTACCTGAGAGATAGGGCATCTTCGATTTACCTTGGCTCTGACCGCCGGCTATGTGAGTATGGGGAGTTATTCTGCAAATGGTAATTGCTTCCAAATGAGTTAAATACTAACCTACTCGTTTTTAAGAAGTGCATAATATCTGATACTTCGTGTAGCATTTCGCAGTTCAATATTTCCTCTTATCGTTCTCTTATGGATACTGCGACCATACCGCAACCCCGACAAGGACTTGCCTTGGCACATGATAGCACGAAATGCCTGGATATTGGGGTTTTGTAACTATTGTCCGTCAACCGTCCTGGTCTTCAATGTGTAAGTTCTTCATTGAGGATGCAGCTCACTCGATATTTGGCTCAAGACTAGCTTGGTTTTCCGCACAGTTTCTCTTCGAAAAGTCTTGAAAAGTGAGATCCATTCACTTCTCGCGAAGATGGGGACACGTCTATCAGACGTTGCATCGCTCTTTGGGCTTCAGCGGTGGGTTCCAAGACCGTCAACTCCTTCAATTCAACTTCAACAAAGTGGGGTCCATGTCTGACTAGTCGCTGGATGAGAGATGCAGAAGTGAACGCGTGATCAGCTTCCTGGCGGAAAAGGAAGGTCGGTTGGCCTTCTTTTTTCCTTGGTTGGGGTTCAAGTTAGGATTCGGCTTTTTCGCTTGTTCATCCCACATGTCAGTGTTGATCTCTAACATGTGATGGCAGCGTTAACGTTTGCATTAGTAAGCCGTAACGAGGTTTGAAATTTAGAAATTGAGAGCTTGAAAAATAATTTTCTTCTTCTGCCGCTTCTGCGTGATTACCTCTGGCGTCAGGACCTGCCGTGAAGTCCAGTTGGATAGTTCGTAATATTTAATTAAATTTTTTTGTTGAGAAAATTGAGTGCATCTTTCGACATAGAACCGAGTGTTGAGTGCGCACGTCTCACAGTCGCAAGTATTCAGCCAAAAATGAGGAAAATCGTTCAAAGCGAAGAAGTGAAAGAGACGCATGATGTTAAGTACATGTTTTATTTCATACTCAGCAAATGGCCCCAGAAAAATAAAAATTGAAAGTTCAAATGGTTTTTTTTCCTTATAATGAATCCTGGCATTTTTTGGAGACAATTTCCCACAAAACAAAAATTATGGAAATTAAACGTTTATGAAACGAAAGGATGATCCTCGAATTCAAGCGGCTCTGTCAAGAAAGTCCATAAAAATCCCAACAATGAAAGAAAATCAAGTCTTCTTTTCTCCCATCTGACGATTATTCATAGCATTTATTTTCGCGCAGTTATGAATCACGGAGAACAAGCTTGGTCGATGTAATTCAACAAATAGGCTTCAGTGACAGGATTTGAAATCGATTTAAACACTTTCTTCGCTGTCTTAAAAGAATTTGGGAAGGATCTGTTGATCCTCTCCCGCATGAAAACCCACTGTTGGTTTTGAAACTTGCATTCGATGATCTTGTTGTCGTACTGTCGAAGAGTCAGGGTCACCTCCATCTCGCCGAAGGGTTCATCCTTTCCCCCGACGAACAAGAGGCCTCGGGACTTCACGAGTCCTCCTTTTCTCTCATCCACAATCGTCAAGCGGAAATCGACGGAGTTGGCCGAAGCCGGCTTCCACTTGAGGAGGGACTTGCAGGCCCCAGGAGTGTAGGGTTCCTTCACCGGTTGGAAGACGAGCCCGTCCGATTGGTGGGCGAGACTGCTTAGAAATTCTGAACCCAATAGCCTTTTGGCTTCCGACAGGTCGTAGAAGTCCTTAGCTTGGATTTCGAAGGGTTCTTGGCCCTTATCGGTGATGCCTGCAGTCATCGCGGCTTGCCTTGGTTCCACGATCTCACGACGAATGTAAGTTAACCTCGTGTCGTAGTCCATCTGGCCCACGCGATTCCCCTCGAAGCAGATGATGTCAAAGATGAGGTAACGCGGGATTTTCTTGCCTTTCAATTCGTCAATCACCATTTCTCCGTCGACAAGGGTATCGGATATGTAGCGATTGCTTTCCTTTCCCTTCGGGAAGAACAAATTCTTCACAGAAAACACTCTGTTTTCTTGATCGACAAAATATATCTCATGAATACCATCGATGAGCATCATGTACCGAGTGCCATCGGCTTTCCAAGAGACCTTGTAAGGAGCAGTAGAGAGCAGTGAAATGTTTTCCCTGTCCATCGACACAGGATAAGTCCCCGGAAACCAACGACGTTTCCAAGCGCACATCTCTTGCACTTTCCTCTGAATGCGAATGCACTTCTGCCGATTCCTCAGAGGCGTGACCCCGGATACCCCTTCAAGGAATTCTGATTTCTTCTCTGCCGCCTCGGCGTTCTGGATGCCAGGCAGATTCCTTTTGTGGGACGCCACATGATGCGGATTCGGAGTATTTGTTGAACTCGTGCACCAATCCGGCATCGGAGGAGCAGATGGGGTGTCCTTCACGTCCCCATAGCGAAGGAACAGCTCCTGCAGATACTCTTCCCTGTAAATGCCAGGAGGTCTGGCCTTTGCAAAACTAGCCACGGCTTCTCCCACGACCCAATCGCATTTCTCGACAAGGTAGCAGCAGACGAAGAAACCCGTTCGATTGAAGCCATGCGTGCAGTGCACGACCACGGCCTTGAGCGGGTTCTTCTCGATGAATGCATCGCAAACCTGATTGAAAGTTTTTACCAGAGCCGGAGAAATCGTCTCGCCGCCCCCAGGACTAGCCAGCTTGTAATACCTTATCTCTCTCTCTTTGAGGAAGCCAGGGTCGTAGTATCGATTCGTGTAAGTCAAGTCGATCCACAGACCGATTTTAACTCGAAGACTCTCCATCGACCGGATCGCCGTTTTCGGATGAAAGCGCTTTTCGTTGGGCAACTGGTCGTCGAACTTGGGATCGAGTGGCGTCTTGAAGACGAGGAATTTCCCTCCGACGAGGCTCGAACTCGTTTCGGGGCAATCGAGCCAATGATGTGGGATTTTGCCCGGCCAATTCCTCCTGTTCCTGAACATGCTGGCGAGTCAAGGGAAAAAGCTTTTCGGTCGAATCTGCCGACTGATGCTGGGAGTGCCGAAGAGACGACATATCACTCTTATCTTATCGCGGAAAAAAGCCGCTTCCTGAAATCCATGCTTGAAAACACTGAGTCACTCTGGGTTTTCAAATCTCTCGATTTGGTCCAGATGGTCGTTTTCGGACGGTGCCTTGGGATAAAAAAAGTGTCTCTCGGTAAGTACGACGTGGCAAGGAATCACTCTCAGCTGGATTTTTATTTTAAAAACTAATTTTGCATCAGGTACTGACTTAAAATTGGGAATAGCGAAGATATCCCTGGCAAGGCTTTCCCGCAAATCGTGGTATCGTGCAATTCGCTTATTCTGCTGGAAAGATAGGTTTCCAATTGGTCGCTGTTTTTGCCAGTTTCGAAAATCTCATGAACGTTTTTGTCGATCTAAACAAGAACGCACCACAAGCGCGGAATTTATATGTTCCGAAGACAAGACAAAAAACTTTTTGGGTTCTGTTTTCCAATTGTATTCGGTGAGTTTCGCGAAGGATCGCGATGGAGGGGGGGGGGGGGGAACTCGAATTGTTAAATTCAACGGTTTCGTCTGGACTAACGGGACGGAATCCTAGCACGATTAGGATTATCATGGAAACGTTATGATAATCATCCTTACGTTTCGCATTATCATCATCATGATTTCCATGGACCATTTTCACGACACGCCGTCCATTCTAAAGGTGGTTTTGTAGTGCTGCTTCTTCTCCAGCACACAGAATATTTACGGCATCAAATTGATGCATTTTGGTCGTGAAAAATTGTGTTCCATGCGATTCAAACGCATTAAAAGGAGTACAATTTTTCAAGATCAAAATGCATCAAATTGGTTCTGTGTGCAGGTGTCCCGCATTTTATGCATTACAGCCTCGTTCTCCATACCGTACCCATTCTGCCCCAAGCTGCATGTTTACGTAAAGAAGATATCAATTTTTTTGCCAACAATGTAAATTTCTTGCGATTGCCCTGAAAATGACATCACGTTTACATAAAATTGACGTTCCTATATTTACGTCACCAAAGTGTACGTGTACGTATTTTACGTAAACTAGACGTCACTCCATCTGACGTGAAGTACATAATATCAAGTTTATGCAAAGTTAACATCACACTTTCCATATGAAACGTAAGATGACCACCCCCCAGTTGCAGTACCAAGATTCCTCACTAGATGGAACCCTTTTTCCCTGCACCCTACAAATGCTATTAAGTACTTGCTTTCCCGATATAGTATTAGGTTTTCTTACCATCCTTTCACTTTTTATTATGCAATCCATGAATATATATATGGAAAACAGGAAATTATTACATATTTTTAATAATGTATGACTCAGGGAATCATTAAATGCTGAAGCTAAGCTTGTTATTACAGCAGTGCATGGGGTTATGGAAGAGTGGAATCCTGCCTCCATAAATATTACATCTCTATCCTTCATGGAAGAGAACTTCCCTAAATATTTATGTCTCCTCCCGAGGTCCTGGTATGGGAGGAGGAACTAGTGAGTCAGTTCTTGTCCAAATAACCTTGAGTTTCGAAGTATGGAAAGGAATGGGAGAAAAACAGTGTAACAATTCCTTTCAAAAGTACGAATTGACTCGTTAAATAAAAACGAATGTCAAGGAAAAATTAACATCAATTTTACGTAAAATGAATGTGAACATGCTGTTGTGGATGTAAACGGGAATGTCAATTTTACGTAAAATTTACGTTAATTTTATACAACCGTTTACGTATTCCAGAGGTGACATTTCTGCAAACATGTTGACATTATCTCTATGATGGTTTGCGTAAAATAAATATAAAATGGACAAAAAATTTACATTCATTTTACATAAAATTAAGAAACATGCTTGGGCCACTGCCCTGGGAGGAGTGGGGGGGGGGGGGGTAATTTAATCCGAAGACCGTGAGATTTCGCTCGTCAGAACAGGTTTTTAGGTCGTCAGCAGAGCTGGTTTCGATCCATATACTTCCCTTGATTGTCTTCCGTCAAAATCCTCCAGTTACGGCGGTTCGGTTGGGGAAATTCTGGCCATGGAGAATGCACAATTTTTTTTCATTAAAACGTTCAAGGAGAAATATGCAAAGGCGGATATCTTCATAGAGGAGGCGATTAAGACCGAGAAAGAGCGCGTTAGCACCGATTCATTCGAAGAGAATGGCTACAAGTACTCCAACGTCAGACTAACCTATCGTGGGAATATCATAGGCTTCTAAGCTAAGAAGGTTAGTCTACCGGCGATACATATTTTACCACCAATACAAGAAACCAGATACAAAACACTATATGGAACTGGACTCCTGAAATGTCAGAAGCGATGACATGAGAATCCCTTCGAGACGCACAAGCGACTCGCACGTGCCGGAAAGAAAGGCGATAGTGGCTATGCATTCACACGCGTTCAAGTGTATATCCCTCCACAGCGAATGCATTGCCCCGAGGGTTTCTGAAGGGCCCTTCCTCCACGCGATGGAGTGGAAGACGGAGGATGACATGCGTCGAGACGATGCGCAGCAGTTCATGTCACCCCTCTCGTCTCGACATGCGTCTAGCGACAGACCGTCGCCAGCCAATCAGAACGCAGCTCCTGTCTGCGTCATGATTCACGGGCTACCCACGTATCTCGAACCCATCTCCTAGACTCAAGTGGAAACATGGAAAATAATATGCTCATGGTGTCATGTGGTCTTCTGGTCAAGGTATACCGATCAAACTTGGATATATATTTTTAATTCCCACTGTATTAGGTGTACTAATAATGAGTCGTTATTTATGTTTATCATGGATTCCATAGAGTTCTAGTTCCTCATCTGAATCTGATGTCCTTTCCTGGACTCGGACATTTATATTTTTAGTCCTTGTTCAAAAATGAGCAGTCATGGTGAGGGTACCAAATGTTATGTCATGGAGTCATTCACTTTAAAAAATTAAAAGTTTAAACGATGCAGCACAATTAGATAAGCCTCAGTGCGCGTAGGTGTGACGAAGACAAAGGTGCAAGAAAAGGTTTGTGGAAGACCTCTCAAAATGTTGTTTGACTTAAACCGACTGCATGTTTTTCCTTGTTTATGATAGAATTTGAATAGAAATTAAAATAATTTAAACAATCTAGCCTTTCAGGCTGGTGCTCATGATTAAATATTAAAGGCATTTTTGAGCTTGGGTTCAACAAAGGACAACCTATCAAATGATATATAGTAACGATGGACACCCTGTATATCATTCTAAGAATTTTCTTCAGTTGAATATGCGGTCAGTGATAAACCAGGTCTAAGTCCACCACTCAGGTCTCAAGATGGTCAGTAATGTCGAACCATGAAAGGTGTCGAGTCCAGGGGCCAGTTGCATTGCCTCAGTTAAGTCAGACTTTCGCGCAAAGTCTGACTTTGGGAGCGTGTTTACCATGCTTCCTAAGTCTGACTTAACGGAAACTTTGACTTAACTGAGACAGTACAACTGACCCCAGGTTCTACACACGGCTACGCAATCTGCAATGATCACGTGGAGCGTTCAAGGGGGATGATGAATGTGGAACTCATATCTGGCGCATGCGCAAAGGGATCACATTCTGATTGGCCGGCGACGGTCTGTCGCTAGACGCATGT